TATATTTTAATTAAATTAATCATAAAAACTAAAAGTACATCATTTCTATGAACATCATGACATGCATGTTTGACAAAAGATTAATGTAAAACATTTGACAAAAAGATAATCTATCAAGTATAACTAAAAAATATAACTTGCAATGTACAATATCGAGCCAATACTCCTAAAACAAATGAAATTGGAAATAAAACATAAGTTCTAAATTCAAAACAAAAAATTTAACATAATGCTCTTATGTCAAATTTCAACATAACATACATAAATATGATTTAAAAGAAAAGGAAAAAGTAAGTCCATAATTCTATTCAACAATGAATTCTACTTTAATTTAAAAATTAGAATACTAACAAAATTATACAAATGATTTTTTTTAGATAATACGGAAAATTGTATGGAATCACATGAAGTAAAGGTTGAGAATAAGAAGGAAATTAAATATAAATAATATAAAAATATATTTTTAGAAAATATTAGAATAATAAAAATCAAAAAGAATTTTAAAAAAAATACATTCGAACGAAAAAATAAAAATAGAAATAAAAGGAAGAAATTAAAAGATATCAACTTGTAATTACACCATGCAATTGCCAACAATTCACAGTCTCTCCAGTGGAGAACGTAATTACACCCTACCAATTACACTCAATTACCTGTTGTCCAAGTAATTACATGACCAACCAAACAAGACAGACATTTTAATTACACCCAATTACATCAAATCCAATTACCACGGTGGCTTTCCAAACAGGCCCTTAGGGATTATCAAGGAATAGTCGTCATGGCCTTCAGCTTGTCCCTAGGACATGGAACCAACAACCAAGCTGAAGTTGTCGCCCTCCTTTTTGGTTTGAAATGGTGCATAGTTAATGGTTTCAGTTCTATCATTGATGAGGTAGATTCTTTATCGCTGCAGAATTATGTCATCGATGTCTGGGCAATTTCTTGGGAATCGAAGGCACGGTCAAAGAGATAAAGAACTTATAGGCATACATGATATATCAATTCAATGTTGCTTCAAGAAAGCTAATAAAGTTGTTGACAAATTAGCTTCCCTAAGTCACTCACTTACTCATGTATAAGGCTTCTCTCACTTCAATACTATCCCTAGAATAGTGAAAGGGATTATCAACATAGATAGGTGGGAGTGCCCTTCCTTTAGAGTCAAAAAGCATAAAGCAAATACTTTGAGCTATGATCCCCTTGAACCTCTCCAGTTGTGCTAGTGTTTCTTTTAGCTTTAGATCTTTTGAGCATTCATGTGTTTGGTTTGACTGTGTAACTAAACTCTCAAGAAGTTATGGCCTAGCCCTGCTTCTTCAAATGTAATTTCTCTCTCAATGGCAATATATATGGTTTATAAAAAAAAAAACCTTCACTATATATTATATATTATACATATATTATATACTAAATAGATATATAAAATCTTGAAAGTATGAAAATCATTATTCCAAATTAAGAACCGATAGGATAAGATTATCAATAATAAAATAAGGATAAACTACTTTATTAGACATACATCACTACCATATATACTAATTTTATCTCTATTTTAAAAAAATACATATATTACCACTTTTAATATTTTATACCATATATTATTGAAGATACAATCAATACTCATATCCCTTAAAACTAGGATTGATTAATTATCTTTACTTTTAAAATCCAAAATTGGTGTTTTAATTAAAAAATATATCTTTCTCTCAGAGAGCATGAGTTAGGGTAAAACCCAAACTCTAACTCTTCCTCTTCCCTTGATCAATCAAAATTTACTAAGAAGAAATACTTCATTAAAATGGATGTTCTATAGCTTGTCAACACACATCAAATTCTTAGCCTTTGATTTTCTCACTCTCAAACCAATTTCCCATGAATCCACCATTTTTCTCGCAAGGGGAGACAACTCTCGTGGGCAGAGACAATGGGTATCGTTGTAAGCAGAGATTTCAAGCCCAATAGATTTATCAAATTCAACATTGATGATGGTATTAGTTGCATACCTTGTAATTTGTATACAATAGATCAACCAAGAAACTTCGTGTCACTTCTCATGTCGGATCTAGGCATAGTGAGCAACATCGATGAATCAAAAGGTGAAGCAAACACCGTTGCGGTGAGATGCCCTGACCAGCCACAAACGTAATCATAAAGTTTGAATAAGCGGAGAGTTACACATGTATTTGACACATTATTGATGTTTCTGATACATTATTGAGATACGATTATATGTATCTAGTTTTTATCAGTGTATCGTATTAAGTGTATATGTATCTAATGAATATATTGGAGATTTACGTATTATTGGAAATTTACGCATGTATTTGACACAATTTGTTTTGTCATATATTTGAGTCTTGTCAAATGTATATGGTCTTCTATCATGTATCTTAATATTATCATATATATTTGTTATGTTATTACAATGTATCTAACTATTTTCGTATTTATCTAAGATACATGTTTTTGGATATAACGTATGAAATTGATACTTGATACATCAAATTATACATATAAAAGATACATGATGTAATATTAGATCATATAAATAGATACATGAAATCAGTACTAGATACATCTATGATACATATGAATATACTTGTATGATACTCATGTATCTAAGTGTTTAGTTTGTTGGATACATTATATATTGATAATAGATACATTGAATTAATGAATTTATTATTTTAAGAGTAATAAAATGAAACCAATCAAATTATATGACTAAGATATACATGTTTTTTTTTGTCTTTTATTAATAATTTAATAAAATGAAATCAATTAAACATAGATATAATCCTTGATTTCCCCTTATATTAAGGGATTTAATTAATTTAAATTTTTAGAATTAATTGTCTATGTATTTTGAAAATCCTCAATTACTCCTCTAATTAAGGAAATATATTATAACAATAAATTTAAATAAATAAAATATGTACTCGATTTTAAAATTCTACAGTTACATGTATCTCGTGAATTCAGAGTCATGTATCCTAAGCACAAAATATGATAGAAACTATCGAGAATCTTAGTAATTAGAATCTAAACTAGTGAATTTATGTAGTTTGCACATAAATTAATGATAACAATAATAGTAATTTTAATGATAAATCTGAAAGATTATAAATATTGAACTAAATATCAACTTAAGCATACGATAAAATAAATAAGTTTCAAAATATATATCTAATTGAATAGCAATCCGAAAAATGGGTTATAGGTCAGTCAAAATTGGATGTCGACACCATTTTATGTTAACCCATTTTCAACTCACTCAAATTTAATCCAATCCGTCCATTTGGAAACCTAAATAAATCCTACATCACTTTGTTAATAGAATAACCCTCCCAAGTCCCACCCCTATACGGTTTCTCCCCTTGAATAAAAGTTACTATTTGATTCCATGATGTAGGGCAAATTACCAGTAGACTAGCACAAATTGCTCAGCTCAATCAAACTCAAGATTTTTAGAGTCCCTAAAATGATCTTTTGGCGAATAAAAAATGGCAGCCAACTTGTCAACTTGGCAGATTTTATGCGTATGCTCTCATGTTTAAGGGTCCTACTCCACCACACACACTGACATGATTTATGCAAAGTTTTAGTTTCTTATTTCTTCCACTTGTGGGCTCAGTACTTTTGAAAAATGCAGCACGGCTTTTAATAAGTAGCTCCTCTCTTTCCCTTTTTCCTTAAAAGATACATCTTCATTTGGTTAAGAATAAGTTAAATCGGAATTAGTTATTTCGAAATAAGTTATTTCACCATATATATGAGATAAGTTATCTCATCACTAAGATATAGTTGGTGGGATAAATAATCTCTAGATTGCCTAATACCTCAACCAAATATGGGATAAAATAGTCTTGCATTTTATCTCTTATAATATTATACCTTATATGTCTGCTGAAGCAATAACTTAGGATAGAAATATAATAATTCTTTACCTTAGCTAATGTGGAGATTGTTGTAATAATTGAAAAATGAAATAGTTCTTAGGTAATTGTAATATCACTTATATAACTATCTATTTTGTTGTCTCATTTATATCTTGACGATTAGCATGAATCCACATTATTATTCCTTTATTTACCTTTTTTTTTAATTCCTTTTTCACTATTTTTTTTTCTGTTATTATTGAATATTCTTGAATCTCCCAAAAGATCAAACTTTCTCTATTATGTAAAATCTATTGTTGTCTGTTTACAAAAAGACCAAATTTACTTTTTGGTGTCTTGTACAAATTTCAGGCACTGCAACAAGGTAATACTATTTCAATTTAGAATTAGGTCTCGGAATGTTATTGAAATGCTGTGTTTGTTGTCCTTTATATTGTGGCGTGACACTCTTGTTTATTTAGGGATGGCGAAAGAGGAAGCAACATAGGCAAACTTTTAACGTGGCCTCCCTGACCCACTTGGCTTAGTATTTTTGACTTGACCTATTCACAATTTCAATGCTCTACTTCAAGTGGACCATTACCATGTGACACCTTGTGGCCAATCATATAACTTGTCAAATGGGTACAAAGGTATGGTCAAACAAGTGGCAAAAACAACTTCTACTTGTCAATTCTTCGTTTACTCACTTTTTTCCCGCCATATCAACAACGTTCATGACCATGTGAGCCACCAATAATAATATTCCTTCCGTTCATTTTTACCTGTTGCGTTGATAAATTTTCAAAATGATGTGATTGCATGTTAATGCTCGGGGCTATATAATGGGTGGGCACAACTTCAATATCTAAAAGATCCAAATATGGCGTTATTGCAGAGGGAAAGTAGTTCTATCCATGTAATTGACAGAAAGTACCATGATGGTGCATCAAATTCCGACTAAGTGGATTCATTGAGTACAATCCAACTGCCGGTTGCATCTAAATGAAATGTTTCACTTAGAGTGAAGAATTTAGAGCGAGCAAAAATACCTAATTCTAATTCTATCCCCCGGGATTGCACGGGAAACAATGAAATAAAGAGAAGCAACCAGTGTTGAAAAAAAGATATATGAATAAGCTATAGAAAAAGCTGAAAGAATTACATCCAACATACTCATTCTTGCTCTATGTAATCATTGAGTAGAACAGTTACATATCTTAGGCTTTCAATAGTTCAGGCTGCTAACCTACAATTTTCGAATCAATTAGAAATCATTTCTCGTTTAATAGCTGTATTAGGGACTAAACAGTTCAAGCTATCCAAGTAAGATATCACGTAGTCAAATTGTGGTTCTCTTCAAGGGCTCGACCCTATAGAGATGTAAGAAGTGAAAAACAATTATTGAAACCAGGGGTGGTAGGTTAGCTCAGCTGATTGTCGCCATTTACTCTATCAGTGGAAGGATTGGTGACAAATAGATTTAGTCCTCGTGTCCGTCCTGGGGCCCCTCCTTTGAGCAAAGACAAGTCCAGAACATACCTGCGCCAAAGGTATCAGATGCCAGAATTCTAATATGGACTGTGTACACAAAAGGAAATGGATTAGGCAAATCACATACATGTTATCTGATGCCTTTTGATATTCTCCAGCACCACAGTTAATTAAAATCTTCTGATCAATCTTCGAGACTAAATGTTCAACAGGCAAGTCGACTAATTCTGGATCTGCATTTATGAGAAGTTCATCAAATCATTATAGCATACAATTGCCTGATAGAATCAAGGTAAGAACTGTAGGACAAGCTATGCGGTCATAACTTACATGTTTTATGAGCAGTCTTCACACCTTCAGTGAGACCCAAGATGTTCTACATAAATAGAAAGTTACATCATGTAGTGTCACTAAATGCAGTACTTGATCATTGGACATATAGATATACAAGAAATATTATAACTAGAACCTTACAACTCTTAAGAAATATTACAATGAGAGGAGCAAAGCTTACCTTAAGATTCTCATAACAACTTTCTAGGTCATCGTTCACCAAAATATGATCAAAGAGGCCTGATGATTTTCCTTGTTCAAGTTCCGCCCTAGCATTTCGGAGACGCTTTTGGATTTGCTCTTCAGTCTCAGTTGCTCTGTTCAACAGATTGACAACAATTTAATAACCTATTGAACCTGGGCAATATGAAGATACTTAACATTCTCAACCAGCCTACCTTGCACGAAGGCGCTTCTCAAGTTCTTCAAATGATGGTGGAGATATAAAAATGAAAATAGCATCAAGAGAGCTAGCTCTCACAGACCTTGCACCTTGAACATCAATATCGAGGATGCATCTCTGCACAATCATACAAAAATAAAAGCTTGACAAATTTGCAATAGAAGGATCTATCAATATGCTAATGCATAATTTGGCCCATGTGTGCCATTAACAAGTCAATGTAAGACCCAAGTAGAGTTCAAACTTATTACTACTACATCCAGATCGTCATTTTTTGCAAGTTTATCAGGATTCTCCTCAGGTTCTCCACATAATATCTCATAATTTAAGTTGTATAACTCTATTTTTAGATACTTTAGTTATTTTAAGGTGAATCCCCATACCCATATCCATTTATGGACCCATATCCCTGAATCTTAAAAATTAGATCATGAAGGATTCAACCTCTAGATCTGCACCCGTATCAAACACCCGCACCTGAGTCCAAGCAACTTAGGTAGTCTCTTTATATGGTCTTTCAGTTCACTTAATGAACTAGCTTTGGGACGACTTAGGTGCAAAGTTCATTTTTTTACAATGTCACAGAAACTATTTTTCATCAGAACATAACAAAGAGATAGGGAGCCATTCTCCCAGAGAATGTAACGAAATTGAAACTTGCATATATTCTCATGGCATGCACCAGAGAGAAAAATTCTTTCGTTTTCCTCTTTGATGATTAAAATATGTTTTCAAATGCCTTTCCCCCTAAGTCTAAAGGATTGGGTTCAGAGTACAACAGTCTATGCTTCTTTTTTTGTGATGAATTTCTGATATATAATGAAACTACATGAAGATAAGTTTAATCTCATTTTTGTATACTTCAAATAATATTTTAAAAAATTGGAACAAAGAAAATGTTTGAACTCCCAAAATAATATAGTATTATTCTTTTTGGAAGAAAAGTTGTATAAAACTTCTTAAAGATGATGATCACTTGGGTGCAAATTAACAACAATTTCAGTCACGCACCATTGGTCCAATATGTAGGAAATAACAATACCAATATTTTGAATTAAGAATTGATAGCATGAAGCGACGATACCTTGCCAGCATCAGCAACCACCTCAACTGCTTCGACACTGGTTCCATAAAGATTACCATGAACAGAAGCAAACTCCAGGAATTTCCCATCCTTTATCTCTCTCTCCATTACACTGCGGTCACTGAAATGGTAATGAAATCCATTCTGCTCTTTTTCTCTTGGTGCCCGGGTTGTGTGGCTCACAGAAAATCCAAACATAGATGGGAACTCTTTCATTAGTTCAGATATCAAGGTACCCTTCCCCACTCCAGAAGGGCCACTGATGACAATAGGCTTCTCCACATTACCTAAAACTCCCTTACTCCAGGCAACCACCTCATTCCCATGTGTCTTTTCCTGTTCTCTTATAAATGGGGTGCCCACCTACAAAAAGTATGTAACAATTTTTAGCATAACTTGGAAAAAGTGAGTGCCAGCAAATTAACTCATTCAAGGGTACTAAATAACATTCAAAACGTTGAGTGTCTCTCAATAATCACATTTTTTTACTTTTTTTCTAATAAGGATGGATATTACACCCACCGGTATCTCTAATTAAACATTTGGAGGAATGCTGATCTGAGCAATCAACACAGATTCAGCATGAGATCATGACTTCCAAGTTTAACAGACATAATAAGAACGTTTAATTATCTAAAGGGCATAAATTAACCAACCTCAAGAAACCAAAAGCATCCATCAGACTTGGAATTTCCCTTAATAACCAATATACGATCACCATTTAAAAGAACAGCTGAGTGGCCATTTGACACCTTGGGTTTAGTACCCAGTACAGTGGGGTTTATCCTGCAATTTATTTCAGTTTTTGTTCATCTTGTCTAAAAGATACATAATAACCACAATGGATCCAAGATATACAGAAACTCACCATTCCCCACTAGATTTCTCAAAGATTTGAACTCCAATGACCGCTGTCGATTCATGATCAGCCCCGCCAATCACATACTGGTGAAAATAGGGAGGCAGAACATTCATTCATTGAATACAGTCATTTGGGTATATAAAATTGGAAAGAATGCACATCACAGAAGAATATCAAATCAGTATGTTGAATCACCATACAATTTTAGACCCGATACAAATAGCTGTTTTGTGGCCTTTTGATTTCAAATCGACCCCATTTGGAAAATCTCCCAAGAGACTATCAGCAAAGAAAGCTGGAGCTTCTCCCTGAACACAGTAAAGATCAAGAAAAAGATCATCACAATAGAAACCATATTTATACTTCCAACTGAAGTGCAGATCAAGACTAATGCACTCACCATAGATGTAAGTAAGTATTCCTTGTATAAAAGATTCAACCTGACCAAGAAAAAATCACAAATCAGACTATAAATCCACATGGAAAAATTATGCATTCCATGAAACACCATGCTGCCTTGAAAAAAAAAAACAGATCAAATTATTTCACCTAATTAATAACAGAAGTGGATCATGGAGTAACCAAATTAGGGATGAAACAGAAATGCATATGATACTTAGATCCCAATGGATAACTAAGAAACCAAAATAAAACTACAGAAAAACAGAGACCATGCTGCCTTGAGCAAAAAAAAATACAATAAATTCATAGAACCCCATCAAAAATATTCCCAAAATGCACACATAAAGAGAGAGACACACGCAAAGCTACAGATGTCTCCCTCTGCTTAAGCTATCGAGCTGTAAAGATTGAATAACAAAAAAAACAAAAAAAGGAAGGAAAATAAAAAACAAAAAAAAAAAAAGCAAGAAAAAAAGCAATTTCAATTGGAAACCCCATAAAAAATTACCTGATGAACTAAGGTTTACGGTTAGCAAGAAACAATATTATTAATCTTGTATTTTGGTATTGTATTGTGTGTGTATTGAATGAAGAAGAGAGATCTGTATTATAAATGTCAAAGAATAAAGTTAGAAAAGTCAGCAAGTTTGAAGGAGGAAGAGGAAGAGGAAAATGAGAGGAAGAAGAAGGTGGAAGAAAGCTTAGGAAGGTTTCCCATATTTGTAGGCGGAACTCTTCACAAGGAATGTGGAAGAGAAGGAGAGGGGACCAAAGCGCTGCTTTTTTGGTCGCATTCACTTCATCAAATCACTACCAGGTCGGCTTTCCCTTTTTCTTTCTTCTTAAATTTTGACCTGTATTTGTATTAAATGTCTATTATGTGGAGTCCTTTCAGGAATGGTTAGAAATTTTACTTGGGATCAAACTAGGTTTTCAATTTTTCTTCATTGTAAATTAGAGTTGTGAAGCCCTAAATATCCCTCAAGAGGAGTAAGAAGTCTTCTCTCTTCTCCCTACTTCATTCTTGTTCTTATTTTATATAGTTTCATAACATGTTATCAACACGAGTCTCTAATTTTGTAACCGCAGTATCCTGTTTGTGGCCAGATTGACAGAACCAACATTGTTGAAGGTATGTATTGCTTTGTTAATTAAGATGGTTGTAGTGGGAAAAGTTAATGATTCCTCCCTGCACGTAATGTATATCAGCCAGGTATATGTTTATACTTACTTAAAATTCTTTATGAGGTTTGTGGCAATAGAGGTAAAACAATACGAATCTTTTGCTAGTATTCTTGAATTCCTATGGAGTATAATATTTGTATTTTAACTTGAATTCTCGTAGTCTGAAATGTACTTACAGATTCACATATAGATTCATCTCCTAAAGTGAATGTGGTAGCAATGCATTATATGTCTAAAAGAAGACAAGTGATTGAATAATGCACATAAACATGAAATGGGATATTAAAACTATCATAAGATGATATGCTTAGGTGATGTGTTCCATTCATGAAGAATGAGAACTTTCGATGAATGCTACAGATACACATCCGTTCCCTAAAGTGAATGTGATAACCGTGCATAATATGCCTGAAAGAAGACAAGTGATTGAATAATGCACATAAATATAAAATGAAGTACTAAAGTTATCATAAGATGATATGCTCAGATGATTGTGTGTTCCATTCATAAAGAATGAAACACTTTTGATGAATGTTAAAAATACATACAGATCCATTCTCTAAAGGGAATGATGTATATTCCCACTATGCTAGGCGTGGAAAAAGTCCCGACCCTTGGTAGTGGACGTGGTATCAACAAGACTGTCGCTAGGGAGACATGTTTCATTGAAAAATTCTCATACTTTATCTTTTGACTTGCTTGAACAAGAATTAGTGCAATTGAGGCACATTCTATAGTAAATCAGAAGTTTACTAATTCCAATACTTTCATACTTTGGCATGATTGTCTGGGACATCATGCACGAGTTTGTAATAATAAGACGAATTATAGAAAATTCAAATTGACATCTGATTAGTCCAAATCTTGGACTCATTTAGAGCTTTATTTATATAGATTTAGTGTCCTCAAATGCTTATTTTGTGACTATAATTGATGTAAAACCCTTGATTTCCAGGTATATGGATTGAGGAACAAAGCAAGGACACTAATTTGCAAAAAGGAACAAAGCGAGCTAAAAGAATAAAGAAAAGCAAGTTTGGTGATCGCCAAGTCCACTTGGCGAGTCGCCGAATGGCTATATGACTGCCTAAAGTTCTAGTGTGCCAAGCCCTGAAGGAAAGAACCTAGTTGGCGAGAGAAAGGAGCAGTCGACGGATCGCCGAGTGGTTCCGCGATGTAGTGTTGGATCGCCCAAAGTTACAGACCTTGAGGATGCTGAATGCCAAGGCAAAAAGGCGATGGAATTGACCAAAAGGTGGCTCGCCGAGTGGTTCGGCGAGCCCGACTTACTTCGTTGAGTGACTTTTTGTAGCACATTTTCTGCGACTATAAATATATTTCTGAACATTTAGTTTAAAATCTTAGCTCATATATTTTAAGTTTATTTTTGAGTTCTAAACTAGTGAGACAATTTTCTCTAGTTTTTCCTAAGTTTTGAAGAATTGAAATTTTTCACTTTTGAGAAATTGGAAGTGGGTTTCTTCAAATTGGAGAATTGTAAGGACGAATCTATACTTACCCAGTAAATGAATAATCAATTTGGTAACTGTTTTTTACCTTTTTATGATGTCTAGCTAAAACCCCAATTCTTGGGGTGTGATTATGGGCTGATTTAGTTTATGGGTATTGCTAATTGTTAGTTTAAATGCTATTTAGAAGTGAGTTCAATCATTAATTATGGTTTAATTTAAGAATTGTAGTTGCAAATGCAGTTCTACCCTTGTGTTTTTGGCTTTCTCTCTCTCTCTCGGTTTTAAAACTAAACTTATTGATTGATGGTATGTGGGTATTGGGTTGACCTGGGTTCAGCTCGAGAGAGTGAATCCTAAACCCAATCTCACACATTCAGCTCGAGAGAGTGAATGGACTAAGGTGTGGGTTGTTCTTATTTGGCATGCTTGCTGATGTTCGAGAGAAATCAACTTGATTCGGGGTAAATTGTTCGAGAGAAGGTTTATATCCTCTATAGCCTAGCTTACTAACTAATATCTAGTTATTTTTAATAGTTGCAATTACCCATTTGTCTATATTAGCCTATAATCAATTCACATCTCAAGAACCTATCTCATTATTGATATTTCGTATTGTTTGCCACTGTTCGTAGTTGATAGTTTCAAACCAAAACCCCCATTTGACATTCGTGTCACCCCCTGATTTGAATGATGTCTTTATTCGATAAATTTTATTCCTATGACTGATTTGACCATGCTCATACTTCCCGATTGACTCTTAAACAAGTACCGCTCCCTGTGGGATTCGACCCCAACTCACTTAGTTGGGTTTTATACTGACTAGCGATTGTTGAAACTTAAAATTGGATGAAGTGTCCTTGAAACGTTAATCAAAATGGCACCGCTGCTGGGGAGTGGTGTGGTTTGAGATTCTTTTGGAGAAGTTGAATTTTGTTCTTTTTAGTCACAGTTGAATTTACTTACTTTTAGTTTTGGTTTGTGTGTTGCTTTTTAAAACAGAGGAGATGAGTGTCAACGGAAGTAATGGTAGCCAAGTGGGCCATCAAGATGACATCAGAAATCTCAATGATGTCAATGAGCCGAATGTTAATGACCCTAATCTAGTGGGTGGGGTTGGTGCCATTCGCTTGCCTCTAGCTGAAGGGAACGTTGTGTTCCACATTACAAGCACCATGTTGCAGCTCTTGCAATTGAAAGGGTTGTTTGGTGGGTTGGCTCATGAGGATCCCTATGAGCATATAAGGAACTTTGTTGATGTTTGCGGGCCGTTCTCCTTCAAGAACAGATCCCAAGAGTCGGCCCGGTTGAGGTTGTTCCTATTTTCTCTAATGGGAGAAGCATGTAAGTGGTTGGCTGAGTTACTAAGAGATTTTATCACTTCGTGGGAAGAGCTTCTCACCTCATTCCAAGTGTGATTTTTCCTCCTTCGAAGATGATGACACTTAGGGACAACATCCAGAGCTTCAAGCGTTTGGAGGGTGAGCCAATCCATGAGACTTGGCTAAGATTTAAGAAGTTGGTGCTGCAATGCCCAACTCATGGTTTGCCCGACAACGTTTTGCTGCAATACTTTTACCGAAGCCTTGATTCGATGAACAAGGAAGTATCTGACCAACTTTCTCTGGGAGGTTTGCTATAACAACCTTACATTATAGCAGCCCAGCTCTTGGATGGTATGACCAAAATTAATCGGGCATGGTACACCCGTGAAGATCAGGTCTCCTCTCTCACTTTTAAATTCACAAAGGAGCAACTTGAGAAAGATCAAGAGAGGGACCAAAACATGGCAAAAATGATGACCCAACTTGACATTTTAGCCAAAAATGTCATGGGAGCTGGTGCTAGGAGTGTCAATGTTATGGGTGGGGTGTGTAAACCCCAATGAGGCCAAGTTTGAAGCGATGTACAACGAGGAGGTGAACTTCCTAGCCAAGCAAGGAGGAGGTTATCGTGCTAACTACCCAAGGCAGGGTGGTAACCAAGGTTGGAAGAAGGACGAGCGCTGGACAGATCGTGATAGAGAGTGGAGGGATCGTAACCCCACTTGGAAGGAAAGAGATGGGGAGAAGGATAGGTATGTTTCTCCCCACGAGCGTCAAAAGCCCAAAGATTTTGAGGGTGGCTGGTCTGAGGATATGCTCTCTCGTATTCTCAACAAGGTTGAAGAGTCCGATAAAATTTTGAAGGAGATGAAGGAAGATGTATCGACCCTTAACCATACAATGACTTCTCATTCCGTCTCTATCAAGCAGTTGGAGACCCAAATGGGTCAAATCTCATCTCATTTAAACCCGAGACAATAAGGGGGGGGGGGGGGTTTCCTAGTGACACTATGGCAAACCCTAGGAATGAAGTTTGATTGGGTACTTGCGTCGTGCCACGACATTAACTAAGGCGCTGCTTGGGAGGCAACCCAAGTTTTTATTTGCTTTCTTTTTGTTTTAGGAATAATCGTGTGTTGATTGTGAGAATTAAAGTCTAGAATGTGTTTGAAAAGTGCAGGTTGGCGAGCAAGATGTCCAGTCAGCGACTCGTCGAAGAGGTCGGCGATCCCGACTTGGACCACCGTTACTCAAGAAATTACGAGGTTAGAGTCTGTAAAACTCGGCGGGCCCATGGACAAGTCGGCGAGCCCGACTTTGTTCACCGTTTGGATCCCTAAATTAACTGGAGGTCCTGTAAAACTCAGTGGGGTAAGTAACCACTTGGTGTGTCGCAGAGTGGTTCGGTGAGGAAAAATAATATCGCTGAAAGGGCGCGAACTGAACGTTTTAAAAGGTCAAAGGTTTAAACTTTCAAACTCTTTCACATTCCCTCACTTTTTAACTTCATACAATCGTACCCATACTCTATATTTCCCATATTGTTGCTTTTTACTGCTTTTTGGTCGTCATTCTCGTGTTCAGATTGGAATTCTTTCCTGCCTAGCTTTACAGATTCATATATTCGGCATTAAAGGTTGGTTTTCCGAACCCCAAACTCGTAAATAGTGGTTGACCTCATTTGCATTGTTATAAATTGTGTTGATGTGTGTTGGGCCTCTCTGAATTCGTGATTATGTGCCTGTTTTAATTTTGATATCGTGCCTAAATTGTTAATTTCTCGAATTTTGTGCTTTAAAATTGATCATAATCTTGTGGGTTGTGCTTAATTGTTGTTGAGTCT